CGGGACCATAGTCCCAGAGGACATCAAGCTCAATTGGCATAACATACTACACAAACCACTGTTCCACCTTCTACTGTGGCTAGTAGCGACTGAGATCTTAAAAGCTTGCAAGCTGCCATCTAGATGCAACGATGGGTCTCTCCTCGTACAGGGCCAAGAAGAATGAAGGAAACCAAAAATTCATGGAAACGATCAGTCCTAGCGACTGGTACACCATCCTATCTGCAGCCTATACGACTATGACACCAAAAGAAATAGATGGTGCTCGGCTACTACTGTCAATCACTTGGAAGAGGATCTTTGTAGAAGATCCTGGATAGACAGGGGGAACAATGTGGAACAAAACTCAAAATCATTTTGGGGAAAAAAAAAAAAGTGGGGAACAGGTTTATTGGCCCGATGGAGCCTGGTGAAACCACTGAGACTATGGCCCCTAGCTGTCCTTCAGGTCTGGAATTAAACACACACCTGTAGCTTCCAGCCAAGCAGTAGACAGGCATACTAGTTGAGCATTTATCTGAGGTAGATACACTCCTTGGAGAGAACAAGTAAGAGAGAAAGAAGGGCTGCTCAGGACAAGGAGACAGCTCAGGGGGCAGGAGTGCATGGAGGGATGGGAAGAAGTGGAGAGGAGATGTTGCATTGTGCTAAATAGTGGTCAATGTCATGAAACAAAGTGTATGTGACCTGCTGTATGGCAAGTGTATTTGCTCTGTAAATTTTCACCCAAATCACAATAAAAATAAAATAAAATAAAAGTTCTGCATTTTCACATTACATTATACACACAATATATTACAGTGGCACATGCATTTCATTTCCAAAGCTTGTTGTTTTTTTAACTGATTGGAATTCACTGTTTGAAATATCAGCTTTTACAATGATCACTGTAGTAACTGATTCAGACTAGGACCAATGAAACATCTCTCGTTTTCACTGGGTGAATGACTACAGAATCAAGGACAGTCACGTGGTCTACAAGTATCATCCCACAGGTTAGTCATTTATTACAAATATTAAGACTTGAGTAGTCACTCCTGCGTTTTTTAAAAATACTTCTACATTTTAGGAAGCAAAAGACAGTATTTTGTGTGTCTCCTTTTCTTTACTGATAAAGGATGTGGCATACTAGCCAAGGCACTTCTGGGATACACTTCTCTAAGGCATGGACACTAGAGTGAGAGAACTAAGAGCTAGATTACGGATGCATTAAAGGGAGCCAAGCCTTGTTTTTTTAATCTCCATTTATTTAATCATTCTGGAATATAGTGAATATGACCTTGGCTTTAAAACAGATATAGCAGAAGTTAAGGTAACACACACATACACACACAGGCACAGACAGAGGTATACACTTTACAATTTGGCATTAAGAGTTGAAAACAGATTAAAGTACATTTGGATCTCTTCTCTCTGCACCAGCAGAAAGCGCCAACAACTGTGAGAACTAATATGAGAAGCCCTCAGAGAAAGGAGTGTACCTATCAGAACCAAGGCTTGCCTGTGAAGGTAAGAGAACAGCCAAGATGTGCGTACGTCCAGAAAAAATATACCAAGTTTCAGTTGTTGAAGCTTCTCTCACACTTGTAACTGACAGATACTACAGCAACTAAGATGATACCATAAATTTAAATGATAGAATAAATGAAATCACCACTCTTACTAATAGCAAAACATGGAGCTTACAAAAAATTACAAAAAATAATAAGCGAAAGCAGAGTAAAAGGAAGAGGACCCCCTCCAAATCTTTACTCTCTGACTCCAACTAGCATCCAACACCTCAGAATTAGTAACCTCCTCTCCTGAGCACCTTCAGAACATGAGCGATGCTTTATGCATCACAAGTTTACAATCCAGTAGAGAGGAAGGAGGGACCCTCCATTAAAAGTTGTTCACACAACAGGTAACAGGAGCTTCCTATATTCCGCAAAGCTGTTTTTCTCTTCTTTTAAAGCAAAGACTATATATAGTTAGTCTACTACCTAGATGTTCTCCAAATGTCTTCTGCATTCAACACTGACAAATTTTAAATAATGTTTCACCTCATGTCACAGGAAAGGATATAAATCTACCGCCATCAAGTTGATTCTGACTCACAGTGACCCTAAAGGATAAAGCAGAACTATCCCATATCATGGGAGCTCTGGTAGCGTAGTGCCTAAGGCACTTGAATGCTAACTAGAAGGCGGGCGGTTCAAACCCACCAGCCACTCCTTGGAAGGAAGATGGGGCAATCTACTTCCGTAGTGATACTGCCTCGGAAACCCAAGGAGGGGTCACTATGAGTCGGGTCCGACTCGATGGCACATAACAACACCCTATATCATTTCCAAGGCTGTAGCTCTTTATAGAAGCATACTGCTACATCTTTCTCCCACAGTGGGTGGTAGACTGGAAACGATGACCTTTTGGTTAGCAGCTGAGTACTCTAACAACTTAGCTACCAGGGCTCCTGGACATGGATTCCAAATACATTACTAAATAAGTACATTCCAAACAATCTACTATACAGAATAAAAAAAAATAACTTTACCAGTGAAATTCATCAGTCGAACCAAACAACTTACTCTTATTAAAAATGACTGCCATAAAAAAAGCTGAAAATTATAAAAAGCACTTACTTCATTTCCATGTTTCTGCAGAAATTCAATTTCCTGTTGTGTGAAAGTTGTCATGGAGATGGACTTCACCCTGTGTGGTGGATTTAACCCTCGCCTAAAAGATAAAATAAGTTTTAAAATTACTATTATATATTATAATTTTAAAAATTATTCAGCTAATAATTCAAAACATTCTTAATTAGCACATTTAAACTTGAAAGAGTGTTTATATTACAGATTAAAATACATTTGTGAATTATTTAAAATACTAATTCTCACAACAGATAAAGTAAGCCTTGTTTAGCAACCAAATTCAAACTAAAAAATACGTTTGAAAATAAGTTCCATTAACTACTAGTTAAAAACCCATGGTACCTGTAACACTTGAGTTTCTAGGAAATACAAATATTATTTTAGTGAGTTTCTGATGCAAGGAAAAGACTACAAATGTGAAAAGCCCTATGGTAAAAGAGTTCGTGAAGTAACTACAATATTTTCACATTTCCCTAGAAAGAGATGATGATGTGTTAAGTTTGGAGCTATAAAAATATTTTTAACCAACAACAAAAAAAATAGATGCCATTTTTAAGTTTGAGGATTATTTAGAAAACCATGAAAATCAACCTACGAAAATATGAAGTAATTTACCAATAAAGTTCTACCTTTCTATTAATTCAAATAGGGATTTATAATATAATAAACATTTTCCATCACCTTAAGAGGCATTAACTGTTCAAGAAGAAACTGTAGGGGTACTGAAAGGGATTCAAGAAATAGTTGGATACATAATTAATTTACAATTCTGAAAACTTTCCTATATGGATGATGGTCTTAAGATGATTTTACCTCTTAATTTCTTGATGAAGCTTTATCAAGCACATGAGTGAATAATGAGGGAAAGCAGGAACTATATACATTTTGTCCAACTCTCACAAAGTGACCTATCCCATCCACAAGAAGGAGATTAAGTCCACGTAAAAAAAAAGTTAAGATGGCAAATGTTTTGTTACATAACAAGAATGAGCTTAAATAATCTGTGCAAAGGAACAAATATCCAATGCTAAATTTCATTAAATTATTTTTGCAGTCATGTTCCCTTAGTCAAGGTCTCATTTAGAATCCAGGTTCTAAGGTAGATTAATAACATTTCAATGGAATTTCTTATAGTCATCATGTAATCATCCATGGTAATATTTTAAATGAGAGATTTAATATTGATCTAATAAATGAATCTAAATTTTCTAAAAACATGACTCTGGAAACATTTTTGAATAATTACATGTGGGTACATTATCAATCTACAAATTCACAACAGTTTACAGCAAAACACCGAAACTGGAACGATCAACAACTCCCCAACTTTCTTATCTTGCTCCTTCTTCCCCCTCCTATGTTTACTTGTCAGAGGTGGGTGGCTCAAGCTTTCAGACTGTGCTCTAAATTAAGCCAATTTACACTGTCTCTGTTGTTTAATATTTTAAGATGGACAAAGGTTAACTTGTGTTTTGTTTTGTTTAAATTTTAAGCTAATAAAATGCTTTCCTTCTAGTTCCTGTTAAGTTATAAAATATGAAAAGAAAGATTTAACAAGACAAATTGAAAACAAAGCAATTTTATCCTAGTAAAACTTAAAAACTTTAAACTTCCATGAAAAACAATTGTGGTATGAATAAATTTTGTGTATTTCCTCTACAATGTGCAATCACAAATTAAGGTTTTAAAGATTACTTCTAAAATTCTAAAAGTGAAAATTTAGGAAACGTCACTATCATTTAAAGTACAATACTTTGTTCCCCCAAAGTAAAGGACATCTGAATTATGAGAACAAAACTGAATTCACCATTTTCTGGAAAGTTTATTAATATATTATTTGTATTTAAAACTGACTTTGTCAAAAACAATTTAAGAAGAAATAAACATGACTGTTCTTTCAAATGCCTCTACTCCCTCCCTAATCATTTTGTACCTTTTCCATAACATGTCCTCCTTCTCCTGGCCAAGCCTTTACTTTTCCTCCTCCCTCCTAATATCCCTTTTTAAATAACGTAAAAGGTAAAGGAATGATTATCCAATAATGAAATGTCAAACACTGTTATAAAGTGTATTTTTGGACATTAGATTTGGAAGCAAAGAATTATAGCCCCATACTTCTTTACTCACTGTCTAGTGAGTAAAGGACAGCAATTCATAAAGCAAATGGATTCTTTTAAAGTTATATTACACAGATGTAACCTCATGAAGGTAGGATAATGTGTAACTTATTCACTGATGTATATATTCTAGGTTCTGTCACATCACAGGGTTCATTTTTGTATAAAGAAGATAGTATTAATAAGTGAACAAAATTTGGATTTATGAAATAAACAAACTAGAATGTACTCATAACTGAACTCTTAAAAGGATATTTTTTCCACTTTCACTGCAGAGCCTTCATTGCAGGATTTCTTTAAATCGGCTCTCAGGGCACTAAAATAGGATCTGCATTACAAAATCTGGAGACACATTTTTTTCAAGATCACATTTATTATATAAACTTAATAACGCCAAGGAAACTTTGCATTTTTTCCTGCTACTTTTCTCTGCTCTACCTACTCTTTTATGTTCCATTTACCCAGGCAGATTAACTATATTCTTAATGTAAGAAAATACAAGGCTATCTATATTTATAATTATCATATTATTTATAGTTTTCTCTTTTAGCCTCCAAGAGCTTTCCACAGGTATATTACAGTATGATGAAAAACTGGAAACTATCAATTCCTTAAGCAGGAGGCAAACTGATAAGTCTGACAGGCAATTAAGTAGTCTTATACACTGACTGCTGGATTAATTCACCAATTTCTATCACGCATCTCATTCACTTCTTGGTCCTGCAACACCACTTTTGAGAATCTACTCTAAAGATCTGAAAAGTAGCTAACAAATCATATGCAATACATTGCAAACAGAAATATGAAGAGGGAAATGGCTGAAATCAAAGTCAAAAAGTAAAGAGAACATCTCCTGTACAATCTGGTAAACTAAGGTCAAGTATCTGACTTTTATCCTGAAAGTATGTCTTTAGGCAAAAGCAGGAATATAACAGTCAAGAAACTCTGAATAAAGGTCTTGCCCAGTCTAGCCTGTTTTAATGAGGTAAATTCCTCACCTCTCAAGTACAGTTAACTCCACCTCCCTCACCTTCTCCACAACAGGGAAGCTGTGAGGAGAAATGATCTTAACTATAAGCCAAACCAAAACCAATGCCATAGGGTCGACCCTATAGGACAGAGCAAAACTGCCACATGAGGTTTCCAAAGCCAGAAATCTTTACGGAAGCAAACTGCCATATCTTTAACCAGCAGAGTGGCTGGCAGATACAAACTGCCCATCTACGGGTTGGCAACCAAGCACTGTACCACCACAAGGCCTTATTACCAGGTAAATCAAGTGCTGAGTTACTGGAATAATTTAATTTAATCTATTTTTAATCCAAAATGTAGAACACAAATTTCCAAAAAAATGTCTACAATTCAGCAAATGTGTTACCATTAACAATCCTTGCAGGATATATTGTAAAAAATAATCATCATCATCCCAAAAAAAGTGCTAGATGCATTAAAATGTTATATAAGAAAAAAATGTAAATAAACTTTGCACTCCACAGAACTGTGATTGTTAGCTGCCATCAAGTCAACTCTGATCACGCCATCCTCATGATCACTGGTATGTCTGAGTCCATTACCATGGATACTGCCTCAATCCATTTTATTAAGGCTGCCTCTTTCTGCTAAAACTCTACACTAAATTACACATCACATTTTGAAGAATGCGAATTTCAGAACACTTAATTGTGCTCCTGAGAATTGACACTGACAAAGAGGGAGTATATTGTACATGGACAAGGAGGGAGTTGTTTGAACAGAACATGGGGATATTGCATGGTTTAAAATCAGGAAAGGTATGTGTCAGGGTTGTATCCTTTCACCACACTTAATCAATGTGTATGATGAGCAAATAATTCAAAAAGCTGGACTACGTGAAGAAGAATGCAGCATCAGGACAGGAGAAGATTAATTAATAACTTTGCTTGCTTACAGCCCAGTATGGATTATATCTCAACATAAGAAAACAAAACTCCTCACAACTGGACCAATAAGCAACATCATAATAAATGCAAAAAATAAGGCTGAAACTGTCAGGGATTTCATCTTTACTTGGATCCATTATCAAAGCCCAAGGAAGGAGAAGTCAAGAAATCAGGCATCCCGATAAAGCCTGGTGGAACCACTGAGACTATGGCCCCTAGTTGCCCTTCAAATCTGGAATTAAACCCACACCTGTGGTTTCCAGCCAAAAAAAAGACAGGCATATGAACTGAACATTTACCTCAAGAAGATACACTCCTTGGAGAGAACAATCATGGGACAAAGAAGGGCTGCTTATGCACAGGGAGACAGCTCAGGGGGCAGGAGTGCTTAGAGGGATGGACACAGGGAAGACGTAACTATGGGGAGGAAGTGTGAGGGGAGCTGTTGCATTGTGGTAAACTGTGGTCAATGTAATGAGACAAAGTATATGTGAACCGCTGTATGGAAAGTGAATTTGCTCTGTTAACCTTCACCCAAATCACAATAAAAAAAAAAAAAATCAGGCATCACACTGCAATGGCCAAATCTGTTTCAAAAGACCTCTTTAAAAGCGTTAAAAAGCAAAAATGTTACTTTGAGTACTAGGGTTCATCCAACCCAAGCCATGGTATTTTCAATCATTTTATACTTCACGTGAAAGCTGGACAATGAATGAGGAGGATCGAAAAGAACTGATACATTTGAATTACGGTGTTGGCAAGAAATAGTGAGTATACCATGAACTGCCAGAACAACAAACAAATCTGTTTTGGAAGAAGTACAGCCAGACACTCTTTCAAAGTCAGGATGGGGAAGCTTCATCTTATATAGTATGGACTTGTTTACATCAGGAGGGACCAGTCCCTGGAGAAAGATACCATGATTCATAAAGACAAAGAGGAAGATCCTCAACAAGATGGACTGACAGTGGCTGCAACAATGGGCTCACACACAGCTACAACTAGGACGGCACAGGACCAGGCGGTGTTTCATTCTGTTG